TTGGCACACAAATAAAAATATAAATCTCATTAAGCGTGTGACTTTAATTTAAAACATGTTACGATGTAAAAAAGAAACACTCGTTGACTGCAGTGTGATGTCTGTGGTGATTAGCCGTACCGTATCTGCAATAAGCAATACTAACGAGATGTTCGCAAAGACCGAACTGGGAAAATGTGTGTAGGCCATCTCCAAATTGGATTATACCGTTCTACTCCCTCTTCTGTACCAGTCATGCTGCACATGTAGCGCCTGTCTGATCGTTCTGTATGTCCATGTCATATGTGTGGAGGTTGTTGTTATAATAGTAATAATAATAATAATAATAAAAATTATGAGGTACACAGGTAAATGTAGCCCTGTAACAGGCCGTGGAAGCCCATAAGGTTGCGAGACGTCGCGGCTCCCACATTTTCTAGACAGTTGGCTCACAGATGGCGGTGAGGTTGTCAGCCTTACACATCGGTCGCTCTTTACCCCCAGTTAAGATCCCTGGTACTCATTTCAGTTAGATGCTGAGTCGACCTCAGGGTCATTTCGCGGCTGGAATTGAAAAATACAGTAAACTCACTCATCGAAAATCGAACACGTGACCTTCCGACTTGTAGCATGGTCCCTCAACCAACTACGTTACCGCGTGCCCCGATAATAATAATAATAATGGACTTACGATATTAATAAACATTTTTATGCTACATTTGTTGGGCATAACTTCAAAGTCCTCGCCGTTGCCGTGTTTGCATTCACAAAGACTTAACACACAAATCTGATATGTTTATGATCTAACAAAAACAAAAATCTCCGTGGCCTGTAGTCCGCAAGCGAACTATAGTGACCGAGCGATCGCCACTTGTCGACGAAGTTACTGCCAACTTTAGCGGGTAGAGGGTGTCGCGTGGTCAGCGCAACTAACCCCCACGGCCGTTAATCTCTGTTTTCTCGACTGAGTCGCCATTTCCTTGAAATAGCTCCTCAGTTAGCCTCACGAGGCTCAGTGGACCCCGCTCGGGACCCACTACTTCTCAGAAAATCTGGTAGCGCCGGGAAAGAACCCGGACCTCTGGATCTGTAGCCAGAAACTCTGACCACTAGACCACAGAGGCGGTCCTCCTCAAATTTTCGGACAGCCGTATTATTATTTATTTACATCGCACAATATTAAAGTGGCAGAGGTTAATTCTCCAAAGATCTGTTGCGATTCATAATTTGAGGACCCTGGAGTAAATGTCATTAGTGTCGCTCATACCTCACAATTTCTCATCTCCGCAATGTTATTTCTGGTTTAGGACATTAGAAAACACGACGTTTGGATGGTCTCCAATGGTGTAACGTTCATGCCAGGTTTCTAGAAAACCTGTCAGCTTGTTCAGAAGTCTATAGGAGGCATGCAGACACCATTCTGATTAATAATCCTTCTGTTTTCCATAGCAAAGGGGTGTAAGGTAAATCTGCTCAAAACATGCAGAATATACGATCATTAGCTACTTAGGGTAGACATTGACATAGAGGTAGGCCTGTAAATATCGATCATAATGTACTAAAATTCATAATATGGCGTACCGCCTAAAAGCCAGATTATCTGAGTCAGAGCGGGCGTCCATTGTTAGGCAACGGCTCGGTATCCACGGTTCCCTCTAGTTGTCGGAGTAACAGTGAAACAGATTCACGCGACAAACAGACGTTTCCACGGAAATGAAAGCCAGGACTAGTGCAGTTTCCGTGGTAACGAATACGTTTAGCTACCGGTGCATAGAACGCGTGAAACGGGATCCTTGAACAAGGTGTCTTCTTGGCCGTCCGACTGTGGTTATAACAGACCAAGAGAGGTCAGAATTGAGGACAACAGAGGAGAATTGAGAATATATCACAACAGAACAAGAGAAGAGAGGCGAACGGAGCAGAGCTGAGAGCAGAAGAAACCAGCTCAGCTGAGAACCAGAAGACGACAGACTAGCCAGGTTGCGTCGTCTGAAACACGTTATTTCAGAGTGATTATACTTGTAATTGTAAACGACTTATCCAGCAAACAGTTTCATCTAATCCGGAACCCATTAATTTCTTGTCGCTTTTCCAGGATACGTGACAATAATATAGAATTTTTTGAAAATCCGCTGTTTGATTGCTCCTTATATATGCGCATTGAAATGCGAATTGGTTTAGAGTAGGCTTGCTTATCTGACAATTATGTTTGAAGTGAAACTGTACTCTTCCTTCCAAAGATCTCGCTTTCCAAAACATACTCGTAGAGTACAGCTATTGTACTCTAGAAGATGGCCACTGGCAGAGCGCTTTTTTAGTTTCCCCATTCTTCGCCATTTCTTTTATAGTTAAACAAAATATTGTGCGAGGAGAAAATTTAATGGACGTTGAATCCTCTCCGTTGGAAATTATAAATCAATAAGTTCTCGCATAATGCAAGCAAATGGCAATTTCTTGTGTGCGTTGGAGTGCGATAGAAGGGCGGCGGGGAGCCTTAACTAAATTACCCTCGTTTGTGAGCAAAGAAATTGAATAGTTTGAGGTTTTAATTAAAAGCGAAATCGTGCGACAGTGTGTGGCCGCCTTCTGATTCGCTTAATCAAGACGAGGAGCAAAGCCCCGCCTCTCATCCCCTGAACTCTAACGCGCTTTTCAACTGTAAGTATCTGGAGGTTCTTCTGCAGCGCCATGAAGTTACTGAAGCAAATGGCTTAGTTGACGAACCAGTTTTTGTTTACCAGCAGTCGACTGGTGATGATTGTGATGGGCGGACTGGTAGGTGACGCAGATAAGGTAAAAAGTAAAGTTGTACGTGTATAGGCGCCTAAGCACCACGGAATACTCGTAAATACGTATGTCTTAGGGCGGCCGCACTCCGTCAAGACAAGCATCATGACTCAGACCGGTGTGCGGCGGTTTTCATAATATCATTGGTTTCAACTGTGCTCCTTTCTTTGCATCATGACGCAGACATCGTGTCTTGACTGTTACATGTCTTGACGAATGCCAGTGTGCGGCCTACCTTACATGGGCAAGAATCTCGGTAGTATAGATGAACGGTCAGCCTCACGTTCCAGCCGCTTTAATTTCTCAGAGAAACAGTGGAACGCGGCCAGTAGAAGCTGTTTTTCGTATATTACGAGCATCGTTCACCATTCGCCGGATGTCTGCTAGTACTCTTCGCGTCAGTTTTCTTGGGTTGGCGAAGGGTTTTGAGTGGAGTGGTGCGCGTGCGCCGCTCTGTTGTACTACCTTGGGGGGGGGCAAAAGTCAGTAATGTGTAGTATTCTGTAGAGAGAATGGAAGGAGAATACGGACATGAAGGTCAGTATTTTCTGCTATATGTATTCCTGCCATGGCGTGTTGTACCGAATTCCTTTCCGTAGCAGAGGTGTGGAAGTGCATGGCTCAGGAAAACTGATGCGGGCAGTAGACATAATGTTGGAAGGCCTTCGAACTTAACGAGGATGATAAGTTCCTCAGGCTCGAATACTGTTTCCATTCGTGGATGATATAGTGTTGTGGTCGGCTAGTATACCAGCGTATCTGTTAATCTGCCACAATGACATTATGTTGCGGTGCACTGGTATACCAGTGGGAAGTTGCACACTGGAACAATGTACAAGGAACATTTCCATTTCGCCCTCATATTCGCGATGCAGGCCTGATTTATACCGTAATGAGATCATTTCCTCAATTACTCATATGAACATGTAGCCTGTTATATCCACGAAAACAGATAACCTACATTCCTGTTAGTAAAATTCTGTCATGCGCTGGTTGTGTTGAATTCTGTATGTATCCCTGTATGAATTATAATAATGAGCGTTGTGAGTTCAGAATGTGGAATGGACATGAGCTAATCACAGGCGACAAGTTCCGGAAACTTTGTATTTTATGCTAACCAACATTAATACGCCAACTGCAAAAATCGGACTGTTTGATAAACGATCATGAAACCTGAAATTGGAAGTTAAATGCGTTTCTATGTTTTTATACATTATTTCCAAGAAATGTTTTGGATGTACCCTATTCCAAGGCAGTTCCATGTAGTCCGCGTCCCCGCGCCGTTTTTTTTTTGTGTGTTTTTTTTCCCGTGGTGGGGTGGGACTGAGTCCACTTGGTCCTGCGGCCACTTCTGGCGTATTGTACCAGCCCCAGATGATAGGTGAGGGTGTTTATGGAACAATTGGTGGAATGAAGATTGGCAGGGGAAACCGAAGTACTCGGAGAAAACCTGCCCCAGCGCCACTTTGTCCACCACAAATCGCACTTGACCAGACCCGGGATCGAACTCGGGCCGCCGCGGTGGGAAGGCAGCGACTAACCGCTTGAGCTGTGGCGCGGCCATTCCTCGCCCTTAGTTCTGTTTGAATTATCCGTTCCTCTGCGCCTTAGTCGCCCAAGTGGCATCTTCTCTTCAAGGTTTACGACTCAATTTTGTATGCACGTCTCTTTTGCCTAGGCCTGCCGCATACCATCCCAACTCTTCCTCCACATTTCGATAACAGATGCTTGTTATGAGCTACATATCCTGAAACTGCTTATTCAGCTTCCTCCAGGGCCCCTTATTACTTTATCTTCTTTTATGGGCTAGAGTTTCCTCTGGTTCTGTGTTCTTTGCATAGGGTGAGAGATCAAGGTTCATGCTCAGAAGCTATGAATAGAATTATAGTGTTGTGTGCTTAAATCGTTACGTGTTTACATAGGAAACTATTCTGAACTCCGTAGGCATAGTTCCAGGCTTTTCCTGAATGTAGCCTGCGTCATAAATACATATAGGAAGTCAGTAATCATGGGCACGCTAGAAAGTAATAATGCATGTCTTGAGAACTATGATGGCGGGTTTATTTTGTTGGCATGATGCGTGTGATGTTAACCTATTTCAAAGAATTAGTTTTCCTCTTATTCAGTCTCGTACGGAATGTGAGAACTTCCCAAATCATCCGTTCGAGCCGTTCGGATGAGATGGTGTAATTATATTGCACTCTGAGGACTCATATGTTTCTCTTTTCTTTCAGTTCAACTTCGTTGGAAAACTGTTGGGACCAAAAGGCAATTCCATGAAGCGGCTCCAGGAGGACACTATGACCAAAATGGCAGTGCTTGGCCGTGGTTCTATGAAGGACAAACAGAAGGTACGGATGTGTGTGCACTGTATCTTTCAATATACGAGGGTAAGTCAATAAGTAAGTTACAAATGGATATAGAACTTAAAAAAATAAGAGTACTGATTTGAAAAATGCTTTTATTTCTCAACATAATCTCCCTGTACATTGAGGCACTTGTCCCATCGTTTCACAAGCCCCTGAAAACCAGCAGCATAAAATTCTTTGGGCTGCTGTCGGAACCAGGAGGTGACTTCTCTTTCTGCAGCTTCTTCGTCGGGAAAATGTTCAACCGAAATATGACGTTTAAGAAGGCCGAACAAATGGAAGTCGCTTGGAGCAAGCGTCGTCACCTGTGACAGTTCGGGCTAGCATATCGTGTCCTTCATCGTGGTAGCGATCGAGATGATGTAATGCCAGACCCATTCTTTGCATTTTGTGTTGTGGGGTCAGCATGCGCGTCATCCATCGTGCACAGACTTTGTGAAAACCTAACCTGTCATGAGACTTCCATTTGTTCGGCCCTCTTAAACATCATCTTTCGGCTGAACATTTTCCCGACGAAGAAGCTGTAGAAAGGGAAGTCACCGCCTGGTTCCGACAGCAGCCCAAAGTATTTTATCCTGCTGGTTTTCTAGGGCTTGTGAAACGATGGGACAAGTGCCTCAATGTACAGGGTGATTATGTTGACAAATAAAAGCATTTTTCAAATCAGTACTCTTATTTGTTTAAGTTCTATATCCATATGTAACTAACTTACTGACTTACCTCCTTACCTCATTCTTGTTTCAGCAAAAGATCGCAGTTGAAGAGCAAAAGAAGTTTTTGATTGAGTTTACACTACGTTGAAATCATATGTATTTTATTGTAATGTTGTAAGACGTCGAGGCGCCTACATTTTCTCTAGACATTCGATTCACAGATGGCGGTAAGGTTGTCAGCCTTACGCGCCGTCCGCCCTTTACCCCCCCCCCCTTCCTCCCGCAGAAGTTTCGTGGTACTTATTTCTGTTAGATGCTGAGTCGACCCGAGGGCCATAGTGCGACTGGAAGGATTAGGCAAATTGAAATAATTCACGTCATCGGGACTCGAACCCGCGACCTTCCGGCTTTTAGCATAGTGCCTCAGCCAACTACGTTACCACGTGCCCTAATTAAGTGATATGTGTTTGTATAAATGCATGTACATTTTTTTTTTTTACCTAACAGGTTTATATAGGGGTTAGGCTCCAAATTTATATTCGGAGGTACTCTGTTCGGATCTCGACCGGGGCACCGGCTATACTAACTGAAGTTTCTTGTGGTTTTCGTCAGTCTCTCTAGGTAAATGCCGAGTTAGTACCTCAGTTACGCATAGACCGTTTCCTGCCACATCCTTTCCAATTCATCTGCCTCACCATTTTGATTCGTTATGAGTCGAATGTGACCTGGCGTTGCGACGAGCTAATACTCCTAATGTCTTCATGCGTGTCTTTGCAAAATACGCTGATAGTCATTGCGGTTATGGATTCCGTAACGATAATATCGGGGCAACATTTGACGAATATCAGAGAGTATTTCCGAACCGCCAGCTGCTAAGCGATATCAGAGATTGTGGTAAACAGAACAGTTGTTCCACGTCATCAGGAAAATGCAGCATGGCGGCCCCGTTGCTGTGGAAGAGCGCATATTCGACCTAGTATATACAACATAACACAGGGACAGTGTTCGAAGGGTGTGTAATCAACGTGGTGAGTCCTCACCGCCAGTATGGTGATCCATTGTATTGTTATTATTTGCAACTGTTCAGCCTTATGATTACTGTCTTTGTGTACAATGTTGTCAGGGGATGTATGTACGTTGCATGATCCTTCTTCGGGTACTGTTCAATGATGAAGCACAATTCAGACGGGATGGCATTAACGGTGCGCGATGTTCTCACATGTGGTCAACCGATAATCCTCACGGGAACGCTGATAGCAGCTCCTAACATCTGCTCCCAATCAATGTTTGGTATGATCTGATAGAGATCTGTTGGTTGGACCTTGCGTTGTGAAACACCGTGTAACTGCTGTTACTTATTGGGACTTCTTTACGAACGATTTGCCGCTTTTAATGGAGGACATGTCCCTGGAGACAAAGCTCAAGATGTTCTTTCAGCACGCATGGGCGCCTTTACACTTCTGCCAGTAAGTTACGTCTTTATTTCAATCGGCGTTGCGGGAATAAATGGATTGGTCGGGCTGGTGCTGTATCTTGGCCGCCGAGATCTCCGGGCCCAATACCATTTCATTTCTTATTTGAGGTCTCTTGAAAGGGAGTGTTTTTTTTATCGCTAGTGGGGTGGGACTAAGTCCCTTGTACTGCGGCCACTTCTGGACTATTGTGCCAGCCCCAGATGATAGGTGAGGGTGATTGTGGACCAGTTGGTGGAATGAAGATTGGCAGGGGAAACCGAAGTACTCGGAGAAAACCTGCCCCAGCGCCACTTGTTCACCATAAATCCCACTTGACCAGACCCGGGATCGAACCCGGGCTGCCGCGGTGGGAAGCAAATATGTATCTTCTAACAGTGAATAGTTGGGTGTGATTTTTTTTTGGGGGGGGGTGCTTGGATGAGATCGTCGTAGTCTTTAATGGGGAAGAGTTAAGCTGCGGTTGGTCAGATTTTGTCATGCTAAATATTAAAAATATAAGAACGACTGCAGTAATATTTTTAAGCCGGAAGGTCGCGGGTTCAAGTCCCGATGAGGTCATTGGATTTTTTTCAGTTGGCCTAATCCTTCCAGCCTCACTAGGCCCTGGGGTTTACTCAGCCTCTAACAGAAATGATTACCAGGAATTAATTAAATATTTTTCCTGGGCAGTAAAGCGCGGCCCGCGCGTAAGGCTGACAACCTTACCGCCATCTGTGAGCTGATTGTCTAGATAATGTGGGACCCTCAACGGCTGACAACCCTATGGGCCTTCACTGCCTGGTACAGGGATAGCTTTACTTTTCTTTTATTAAAGGAACGTATTGTGGCGTATAGAACCGTTGCTATGCAAGGACCGCGAAATAAGCAACTATAAAACAGCCGTCGCTAGGTAACAGCTCCGCCAACAGACACGAACGCAACAGTTCCACGGCAAGAATTGCATTGCAGCAGATGAACAGTATTTTCTACGCGGTCCGTGCAGAGATGTTATAAGTAGGACAAGTTAGTGAGTGAGGTAACCGCCGGGGTTCAGTCGTTCTGAGCTGTTGCTGCGAGAAGCTAGTAACTGAGACCGAGGACAGTTCGGGAACCCAGAGGAAGGGGAACGTCCGCCTTTGAAAGTCGCTATCAAGCAACGGCAGTGAAGATGTGACTGTGAACACTAGTGTATGTGTGTAATCGTGAACTGTAAAGTGCAGCCACGCGTTCGGTATCAAAGAGTCCGATAAATTCGATTACCAATCCACACCCCGTCTATAGTCAGTATCGTGACAGTATTAGTATAAGATGCAAAATAAACAATACACTAAGAACAGGAGTGATACAGTTTTGAACTTTTTTGTCACTTTTCTGGAATGTCGGGTAGCACCGAACAGCTTTTTGCACACATTTAAAACTTCTGTCGATTGTCGATTTGATTACGAGTCGTTTCAGTGGTATGTTTTATGACATAGAACTGTGTCGTATATGTAATGTAACCTCCCACGTTCCACTCCGGCAGCCCTTTTGAGCCAGTATTCACGTTTTGAGACTGCATCCAGTCTGTTTCGAAACCTGTGCGCAAAATGCATTCTGTTTGTCGTCAGTAGACCTGCTCATACAGGATTCATAGTTGAAAGCTTGTCTGAAATCGACCTTTTTTTCTACGTATTCTATAGCTCTTTGTTACATGTTCGTTCTTCTCCTTTTGCTTTTCATGCACTTTGTTTCTGTAAGGTGTTGCCGTTACAATTTTCCTCTGTTTTCCACCCTGAAGCCATGTTTGCTAGCATGTGTACGTGCGAAATTGTTTCAGGACGCTCTCATTATGACCGTTATTACTTCGCACTGCCTCTAACTTGCTGTACAGCAAGAACACTTATTGCTGTTACCTCGAAGTCTCCTAAATTCGTCCATGGAGGATGGATCTTATTATTATTATTGGAAGGGGTGGGTTTCCCCATGCACCGCGACCAGTGGTCTATTGTACGTCCCCCTGTGATATTCTACCAGTCTCTATACCTTACCGATACTGGTGCCTGCCATCAGTCCCGACTCAGCCAGGGAGTTCGGCCTCTACTGGCTCAGCGGTATCTAGATGCTTCCCCCATCTACCAGAGACGTTAGAGACTATTGTTGGGCGGGAAATGTCCTTTTATAGTTTGGCTCAGAGGCCTCCTTGAGACATGAGGTTCTTTTACGTGCCGTAAAGCTACGACATGGGACCCACGGCTTAAAGTCCCTCCCGGAGGACTTGTTCCCTGAATTTTTCCGCCCTTAAAATTTCCACGACCTCCACCGGGTTTGGACCCGCGTACCTTGAGTCATGAGGTGGGAACGTTACCACTAGACTACGGAGGCCGCTTGAGGATGGATCTTACTAGTTTGTGAAATTTCGGTCATGTGAGAAGACAAATAATCAAGATCACAGAAACATCTTGGTTCATTGGAAGATACCAGTGGCGGAGAATCCTTACTCGGCAATTTCCATTCGACACACTTGGCTGTAATCAACTGAAATTAATGTAACGTCATACTGATTTGTTCTCGTCCATGAAGCACATGCTTCTGTTTATGTTCCCGTGAAAAACTATGAAAATTATGCTAAGCGGTTGTCGTCAGTGCGTTGTGTGAGATGGAGAGTTTAACGTACGGGTATGCCTAACGCGAGCGTTCAGAATCACCTGCAACTCCTTATGGCTACGTTGACTGACCAGGCTGAGAAATGCCGGTCTTCCCTTTTGCTCGTTGCGATATTTCGCATAGTGCTTTTTTATGAACAGCCAGTTTCTTTTCGCGTGATTGACGACGTCCCACCGACCGCCTTCTGCAGTGCAAAAATTCGCATTGCGTAACGTGCATTCAACATCTTCAT